CCTGCGCACAGCTCACACACTCGCCACCGACACTCTAGCGAACACCTGCCGCCTGGCTATTCATTATGCCTCACATATTTCTTATTACTTAACTTCTAAATCGTTTTACACTTGCAAAAAGTTCGACCTCACTGGTTGTGTGATGCATTATGCAATATAGTTATAACTGATGTTGAGATTATTTTACAATCCCAGTTAACTTTCTTAAACTGCCAAAAGTAATTTGTAATGATGACATAAAACCACTGCGGCTATTATAGTTTATGCTTAATTTTATTTAGCTAGTACTTACTACTTGCTATAAATACTGCATTCAAGTTTTCATAGGCTGTTTTAATGTATTTTAAATTTGTGTGTGAACATATAGTAATAGTTTTAATCCATTATGATAATAATGGGTGCAGCATTCCATTCATAAAAAGCTGCAATAAAATTTACCTACACCCGTCCCCTCACTTCACTTCACTATACCCTGCTGCTGCTGCTAGTATCTTGACATGTACCTTGGCAATTTTTTTTTTTTCGGAAAAAGGGGTCAACCATGCAGCGGGCCACTTAAACATTGATCCAACGCCCATAACATCTGCAACACCTTGGGAACTGCTTGTTGCCAATATTGTAAGCATGTTTTTACAGAACTTTTATTAGGTTTCAATAAGTTAAAAAGTTTATCATTGAGTAAAAAATGAAGACTACATAATGTATTATTCTAATTTGAGAATTATTTTGTGGAAATTAAAAAACACAACACTGTAATTAATACTCTTTGAATGTTTTTTTAGGTTCTATATAAATTGAAGTGTTGATTATCTTTCTTTAATTTATGTCAGAATTAAATTTTCTGAAAAAATTAAAAATGATAGAATGCTGTACCTGAATCAGATATAGGTGATATCCTTAGGTGGACGACTAAGATTCTATTCTCATCGGAAATAGGCATATATATTATATAATTAACAAATAATTATTAATAATAGAGACAAATATTTTGGTGGCAATTTTAGAGGACATTGATAAAACAAGAACACTCTTAAATTATGCACATACAAATTGAAATTAACATATTATAAAACAAACAAAGAACACAAAGAAAATCTTCTCTGATGACACTACACTACAAAAAATAAATTATACAGATCTATAAAAAAATAATAAAACTTAAATTGACAAACAAAAAGTTATTAATTACAAACAATTAAAGTGGCTCCTTAATGCTGTATGCTGTATGCTGTTACAAATGATCAATGTTTCAATTCCAATCGATCACAGTATGACATCACCCAATATAACTGGGCGGAGAATGAAGCAAGGACCTCGAAAATTAGGTCAACCATTAACCGAATTGATATCTTTATCCGCATATCTATAAATCACATATAATTAGTTATTTATTAAATAAAAATAAGACTTACTTTGAGCATTTGCTGGCAGCGCACTAGCTAAAAATAGATAAGCCAGTGCTAATGGCAACCACAGTGATGAATGAGGCATAGCTGCCCTTACTTCCCAGCCCAACGTTTTGAATAACACTGAAAAATGAATACCCACGTAGAATAGAAAACAGAGCCTTAGAATATTAAACCATGAATTAATTTTAGGGTATAATAGTATTAATTACTTAAAGGGGACCAATCACGCAAGATGGCGCTCAAGGACTGAACCAAAGAGTACTTCGTCGTAGCAAAAAGGCAAAGACAATATTCTGGCCACAGATATCTCTAGTCAGTAGGGATGGGTACATTCAACGCAATAGTTGAATTAATCTTTAACGTTTCAACCGTTGTCCGTTATTCATACAACTAGGGTGGATTAGACAGTTTGGGTCCAGGTACGAGTTGTAGCTCACTTAAGACAAAAACACAATTTTTGGAAAACGGAAAACTTGGAGATTGATTGAAAGTAAACTGTAGAAATATATGCCAAAACTAAAGTGCTTATATTTCATATCCAAATGACTAATAGAAAATATTAATTTAAAGAGCCACGGCCGATCTAAAATCAGACACAGAACTGAGTAAAAATTATTAGTTTCTTATCATGTTTGATAAGGGCAGTTTTTTTCTGACATTTGGTTAATTTTCCAAAGAACTTGTCTATTTCTTGTATGGATGGTGATATTGTAAATTTTCAAAACTAGAACCATGTTTATTTAGTAAGAAAATAATGGACTGGTAATAACCACATACACATAATTATTTTAGACGCCGCAGTTTTTTTTAATTGACACCCAAAGTTATTTATCCTGGTATCATCGTTTACTTATGGTAAGCACTGAAAATCTGGTTTCCTTTGTTGTTATATAATATGTATTATAATATAGGTATATTTAAATAGGATGTTAGCGTATATTTCTTTGCTGTTTTTTTCAATAGGATGTTAGCGCCTCTGTTCACCCTAGCTGGTCAAAGCTGGAGCCATTTTCGACAGGATATGTGAGGTTGAAAGCAATACACTTACTCACCAACAACAATTGAGTGAGCGGATTTATAAATGTTTACGATAGAAAAGAACTCTCGTCGAGTGATAATGTCAATCGAAACATGACAGCTAATGTCGTTGTTTGACGTGACATTGACAGACAGCTCGAAATTATACAGCTTTTTAATAAAAATATAGGTATGGCAGCAGCACTTTTAATGTACAGCCAGAATTAAAATCATCTTTTGCGAATTCAATGTAAAACATAATGGCGGTTCAGAAAAAAATCATAACTGTATTTCTTGTTTATCTTCTCGTTCTTTTATCTTTGGTATATAAAAGTTTGAAAAAAAAAATACTTTTATACAATAACCAGTATCTAGGTACATGGCTTTTTTCTCTTACCAAATTAAGGGTTAAAAGGTTACGAAAAAATAAAACAACAAAATTAGGTTAACAATTAATTTATTGATTCAATAACGCTGTGAGAAGAGGCGTTGATTTATTAATTTTATTCGATATTTTACTTAATATTGCACATATTTAATAATCGTTTTACTAATATAACGCGATTAATATTTAAATTATAAACAAACAAAAATGTCGCAGAAAGTTTCAAGGTGGCTCTGCTCACGCTGATGCACAAGTCATTGAAAACAAATTGCGTTCTCGGTATAAACATGGGGTCTTTTAAGTTCTGTCGTTTAAGAAATCTATACTAATATTATAAAGAGGAATGATTTGTAATTTCGTATGTATTTGATTTACGTAAAAACTACTGTCTCGATTTTAAAAATTCTTCCAACATTAGAAAGGTAATTTAACTGTGAGTAACTTAGGCTATATTCTATATTTTTAATTTCACGCGCACGAAGTCGCGAGCAACAGCTAGTACAAAATAAACTATCGTAAATAACTTTACGAAATATACGCCAAGTATCTAAATAAATTTCTTTTATTTTCTCGGAAGTACAATTATAATTTTTTTACTGAAGTGTATGTTTTTGTAATATGTAACTTTCATTTCAGATAAAATAAAAATTATAAAATTCTACGTTTTCCTGACTCGCGTGTTTTATGTGACTATGGGCTGTCATTTATGGTAGTAAGATACGCATTACTTTGGCTTGTATTGACGAATTTCAGTGATATTTTCTAAACTTATCATAATATGTACCTTAAACATCCACTATAAAACTGGCTATACATATCTAAACGACAGAAGACAAAAGATGAACCATGTATGAGTAGACTTTTAGTGTGGCAGTGAGGTAGGGAAGTAGTGCCGGAGTCTGCCCGCTGTGCGCTAGCCGCGCCTCGCTTCACGATTACAAACTACACAGATCTGTTACAGACGGTTGGTACGCAAATAATATGGATTCAAAATTAGTCATTGCCCATAACGTAAATGGTATAGGAAAGCTGTCGCCTGCGACCGCCCGGCGTCAATGCTGCAATGGAACCGCTTCTCGATTTATCTCTACGCCCAAATCTGAAAATTTACAAACATAAAATTTACAAGATTTTGATATGTTACCTAGAGTTCGCTTCCGCGCTGAACGGCTGTCCTGAGGTCGTGACGACGTACGCCCAGCGTGGTGTGCCGGGAGGCGGTGGAGTGCGGTGTGAGTGGTGTGAGTGAGTGCGAGGGTGACGCACCCGCAGCGTGGTGTGCCAGGAGGCGGTGGAGTGCGGTG